CTAAAACAAATGTCAAAATTTACCACCAGAGGGTGATTACAAAAATGCATATCAATATTTGTTACAGAGATGCATTTTCGGATTAAACAAATACAATGAGGGTGTGGCTCAATTACAAATAGTTATAGATATGAGATTATTCTGGAGATACATATCAGAGCTAAATTATAGCAAAAAAGAGAATATTTCTTAGTTACAAATTTATTGTTGAAATGGGTGCACCCAGAGTTGTACTTTCAAATTCGTAGAGATAGTTTTTGATAGGTTAAATAAGTTTGTGGTTCTTCTAAATATTGTGAATTTTTTTTTTAGTTTCTATAAAAAAATTCTTCCAAACAATGGTCCTTCTAAAGTTATCCATCCACAATTTTGGCCACTGCTGTCAACTTTCATTAGTTTGTTGGGGTTACAAACCTCCTCTAAATAAATCTAGAAAATCCATTCCTTTCACAATACCTTCAAACCAAACCCAGAATGCTCATTGTACTTGCTTAAAAACACCATTACACACTTTTATTACTTGACCTTGTCACAGTTCAGACCACAAACAACAACTTTACCCCTTCTTTAAAACTATCACTCACTAGATTTATTGTTTGAAAAGATCACAGAGAAGCCTCACTTTGATGAATCATTCTCCGATTCAGACATATTTTGATTCATATATCCAAGCCCAACGAGTCTCTTCACTAAAAAGTATCAACAAACTGAAAGTTCATCCCTTTCACAATGTCTTCAAACCAAGCCCAAAATTCTCATTGTACTTGCTTAAAAACACCATTACACACTTTCATTAATTGACCCTGTCATAATTCAGACCACAAACAACAACTTAAACCCATCTTTAAAACTATCACTCCCTAGATTTGTTGCTTGAAAAGATCACAGAGAAACTTCACTTTGACGAATCATTCTCCGATTCAGACATCTTTTGATTCATATATCTAAACTCAACGAGTCTCTTTAGTAAAAAGTATCAACAAACTGAAAGATCAAAAAAGGGTTGGAACCCTCCACCTCTTGCTGAAAGCCTACATGTCTTACCACTAAACCACATATAATTTTTGAATAATAACAATAACGTGTGTATATATATATATATATATATATATATATATATATATATATATATATATATATATATATATATATATATATATATATATATATATATATATATATATATATATATATATATATATATATATATATATATATATTAAATTTTGTTTCTCTATGAAAAGGCCTTTTATATAATAATATTAAGTTATGTTTAAAACATGAAATAGTAATGTTAAATATAATTAAATAATAATTAAAATATTTTGTTTTGAAATAAATTGTGATTGGATATTTCAACCATAGGTTATATATCAGTATCTTAAGTTGGTCTGTCCCGTCTAATCCGCTTTAAAAAGTGGGCTAAGGCGGGCAGAGCGAATTTTACGCACGAACTTTTTGTTAAAAATTTATATTTTTTACTTAGAATTAAAACAACTTTAACTATGAAAACAACAATCTTCTTTTAAGACTATGTTGATTGAATTGTATTATAAATTATTATACAGACAAATTGAATTATAATCGTAAGATTCTTTCTATAACTTTATAATACATGTGTTTGTAGAAAAAGCATAAAATAAAAAGAAAAATTGTATGGCGTGAAAAATTATTAAGTTGTCAATACATTAACTCACATGTTTTCTTTAAAAATATATGTTAATTTTAAAGAGAGAGAAAAAGGATTTGATTATTTTATGCATTGTGATGTTTTATGCACCGTAATTGTTATCATTGTTTGTCTTGTGTAAATTATTGATTGAGTTCTTTTAGTAGTTAGTTTTTAAATAAGATTAAGATGATATGTGTTGTTTATTTATTTATTTTGATACATTTTTTATTGTACTTGAGTCTATTTCGTTATGTTTTTCTTGTAATTGGTCTTTATTTATTTTATTTTTGAAATGTTTGGACTTAAGACATGTTGAAGTTCTATTATGCGTTGTTAAAAAAAAATCTTTTGTCGACCTCTTTGGTAATTATTAAATTTTTTTGTAATTTATGTCATATATTAAATTATAAAATAGAAAATAAAAATATGGAGGGTCGGCCCGTCAACTCGTTAGTAAATAGAACGGACATGACTTTTGAACTCGGACGCTTAAGTTGATTCGTCCTGCTCCGTCCCACTTTTAGATGGACTTTAACAAGACAAATTTAAATGGAGCGGACCGTTCAATTTACCACCATAATATATATATATATATATATATATATATATATATATATATATATATATATATATAATATATATAATATATATATAATATATATATATAATATATATATAATATATATATAATATATAAAATAGTTTAAATATTTAGTTTATTAAATATTTCTACTATTTAACATTTCAATCATAGTTTATATATTTCAATTATACATTGATTAAACTATTTAGTTTATCAAATATTTTTACTATTTAATTGATATATTTAAATCATAGTTTATATATTTTCATAGTTAAAAGATTAATAATTTATATATTAAATAGTTGAAATATCTAGTTTATTCAATAATATATAAAATATTTAATTAGTTTATTAAATTTAATAGTTAAAATATTTAATTAGTTAATCAATAGTTAGATATATCTTAATTATTTAATATTAGGTTATCTAAGTTAATTATTAATCAAAATAATTAAAATATTTAATTAGTTTATTAAATTCAATAGTTAAATATACCTTAACTATTTAATATTTAAAACAACTAATTTATTAAATATTTTAACTAGTAATATTTTAACAATTTTTTTTCAAAATAAAACACATTTTAATTATTATTTAATTATTTAACATTTTAAACAAAACTTAGCATTACTATATAAAAGGAAATTTGATACTATTACAATAAATATTCTGCTAATATCCAATATGTACATATACATTGCAATTAATAAACAAATAGCATAAGTGGTGCAGTGGAGAGACATTAATTTTGTAAGTAAGTTCGAATCCATCTTTGACCAATTTTTTTTTAATAAGTGAAGTATATTAATTCAAAAAAGTAATAGATACAGAGCGTGACGATCAATTGATCAAGCCTTAAGACTACCTAAGCAAATTAGAAAAACGAAACCAAAGTAACTAAGCAAAAAGGAAAACTATAGCATCAAATCAGCAATACGAGTTTGAAGTTTACTACTATACAAACCCCTATATATTATCATATCTATGATGTTATTTCGTATAGTGACGACGTCTTTCGTTTTCCTAAAACATTTTGCATTCTTATACATCCATAGCCCGTATATTGTCTCTGTTACGGCAACCTTCTTCTCTTTTCCAGCGTCATGTTTAATGACCCAGTTGAGTTCATGGGTCCACGCCCCCGGTTCATGCGGAATATCAATCCACCCTAGGACATCCTTCCACAGATTTTTCATAATGGTACAACCGAAAAATAAGTGTTCAATAGTTTCTTCAGTCTCGCAGAAGCAACAGGTGTTAGTTTCCATCATTCTATATCTTATGCACCGATCTTCCGTTGCAAGTCTATGATGGCATGCAAGTCATAATGTTATAACTGTTGTTGACCTTGTTGTATTTCAGTACATAAGTTTTCTCCAATGTTTTAAATCATCTTCATCCTTACTTAATTCCTGATAAATACTGTCATATTGAATTTTTTCTTTGCCAACATATCATCCCATTTTACTTAGATTCGAACTACCATCTCTCAGATATTCAAGACCGCTTTCATTATCCAAGAGTTATCCAATTTTAAAAATTGTATTTTAACATTTAACCATAAAATAATTAAATAATAATATATTGTTCTACGCGGAATAAAAAAGAAAATAAAAACATATCAACTCAGTATTGTTAATCATGTAGACATTTTGTAATAGAATCTTAACATACAGGGACCTGCATTTTATATATATATATATATATATATATATATATATATATATATATATATATATATATATATATATATATATTTCAGAACTAATCTCTTTCTTTTTTTTTCTATTTCAGATTTGTTGTTATTGATGTTTTGTTGTTGTGGTTAATGGAAGTGTTGTATTGAGTTTGAAATTGTGATGATGATTATGCGCTTGGTAATGGAGACATTGTTGTTGGGTGGAAGAGGAAGGTGGTGGAGGTTTGAAGAAGATGGTGATGAATATGAGATTTCAACATTTGATTTTGTTTTTGATTTTCTTGGTTTATTTATAAGAGGTTTGCAACCCTGTTATCAACTTCGTTTAAGTCAAATAAATTGTTGATTTTAAGTGATGTGACACGTCAACTTCTATTAATAAAAATTGGCGACAGGAACCAAAATTATAATTGAAAAATTTTAAAAGGATCAGTTTGAAGAAACTTTTTAGAGGGGTTAAAAATGAAATTCGTAATATTTAGGAGGACCTCAAATTTAGATTTATATAGGGCACTTCTCCCCCACTTAGAACGGGAGATATAATCCCCTTCAAAAATGCACTGAGTTAATGCCATTGGCCTAGTAGTATTACTTTTGGTGTGACCTGCATATGTAACACCTTCCTTCCCACCCCCTTGGTAGAATTCCTCCCATTCATTGAATCAAATAGAGCTTACGAAAAAATGTTGGATAATTTAGATGAACAAATGACTTGTTCCTACAACATAGGTCCAAGAGAATTATGGCCTATTATGCAAAAAATTCAATTTCTATTTTGATTTTTTTTCTTGCACTTCTGATTTATACATGTGCCACGTTGAGAAATTCTTACCATTACATGAACTTCGACATTTACCTAAGTTACAACCCACTTGTACATATTTGAGCTAGGTACATAATCAAACAGTATAAGTAAATATGTAAAGAAAAAACTTGTTTCCTTTTTTTATGTTGACTAAAAAAAATTGTTTCCTAAGACTGCAGATAGTACTGCTCTTTCAATATATACTCTAGGTGATGCTTCTGTTGCAACTAAGTTTGTAGATTTATTTTGGGCAACTGAAGGAAAATTCGGACAGCAAGGCCAAATGGTCGCTTCCCACTTTCTATTATTCAAGAAAAAACTTGTTAAATTTGAAAAGTTATTGCATTTAGAAAACAAAAATTGAAGCAGTAATACCTTGCATGGAAGGCCCCCAGCCCTTCGAAGGTCACGGATTGACACGGTATCAAGAACTCTTGTAGGTACAATTCCGTCAGAGTACCTGCATCATATGCATTCAACTTATCTTATTATTGGGTAATTGTCATCATTAAGGCCTCAAACATCACATTTTTCATAATTTAAACTTTCTCAGAACTTAGGAAGGAGTTTCGTTACCATAAATAATCTACAGTGCCAATAAACTTTGCGTGATAGGAAGTTGCCAAGGGTTCACCATTGAATCCCCGTGTACTAGGTGAACCCTGAAAAAGGTTTATCATTTATTATTCTATTGGCATGGACCATGAGGAGGAATACGAAAATTAATATAAAAAATAGGCTACAAAGGAATGATCATGTACATTGACAGTGGCATACGAACTATTCAGCTTTAATGGATGCACAGCCAAGTGACACTCAGGATCACCGGTTGCAGTTTTTATCTCTTCATCTGTCCAGCAGTTTAACAATCTGAAACAATAACTTGAGAGCTTTATACTTAGAGACAGAACTGAATATCACAAGCACTTAGAAGAAACAAACCTTCTTCAATTAATGAACATGCGTACTTTAAGGTCATAACATAAAAATATTATATAATATTGCAATTTATATCATACAAAAATGGCATGAAAGTGCAGGTATCATATACAACAGTGCTAAACCTATATTCGTGAAAGGATATTCATGTGCCAATTATAGAAAATCCAATGAATAAAAAGCAGGTCAAGGAACTTTCTCCAGAAGAAAACTCCAGAAGAAATAATTGTTACTTTGGAAATAATGGAAGTGAACAGAAATGAAATCGACCAAAAGAGTTTGTTGCACAGTAAGATCATACAAATTCAAGAATGGACTGTCTGTACTTATAAATGGTGAAAATGCAAAGCTACCTGATCTCAAAGATTTAGTTAAACAGTTTCTAAGCACAAGTTTGTTATACTTTAAGTGATATTATGCAGTAATTCTTTACCACATTAACTGCACATGCCATCCTATGCTGTAGCTTATGTATGATATAGAATTAATAGCCCAAAAAAGGAAAAATACCCATCCTGTGAAATAAATTGAACAACTGTTTCTTTTTCCCTGTCTAAAACCTGAGCAGGACGACAGCATTTCTGTCCAGATAACTCCTTTCTGTCATATAGTTTGATATTAAGCTGCAAATGAAAATTACACCCATTTTCATGTAAGCATCTTAAACATAAACTACTTGCTCAGATTCATGGCATAATAAATCTTATATCCATGTCCAGAATAGAACAAATTTGCAAAACCGTGACTATGAGAATGTAATGTAACAAATTCAAAGTAACTCACCTCGGACGATGACAAGAACTTGTATATTCCACTCTGTTGAAGAACGAGAATATGTAATAATCAATATGTAAGAAATGAACATCATATAGTAATTAAAGGACAAAGTCCTATCTATTTTCTGAAATATGCACCTGAGGAGTACTATTAAAATCACCAGCAAGGATTACAGGGGCATTACCCCATTTCTTTGAGAGGATCTGTGCTTTTGATGCGAGGAGACGAATCTGCATTATTTAATATTTCAAGCTAATGTAAGGATTATAGGCATTAAACTAATGTACATACTGACTGGTATTTCCTAGATAGCAAAAACATTTCAGGATTAGGAATTAGTAGTTATCAAACCTAATCAGCTAGCACTTTATCTAGAGAAGGAAGTAAAAACCTTTAATTTAATCCATAGAGGGAATGAAACACTTACTTGACCTAATTTAACTTCTCCCCTGTTTGGGTTATAAAGTACATGGATGTTACCAACCAACAGTCTTCTTGAGTTAGATCCATGCATCTGCCTGTACAGGATGAAGTTAAAGATGCAAAGGATGGCCAAGGGATGTACAGTAAAACAAAATTCACAATAATAAACATCTCAGGCAACAAAGGATTGCTGCTGCTTAAGTTCAAGCTAATATAAGAAATCACGATAAATAAAGCAGGAGATGAATCAAGGAGCCAGGAATTCAGGAAGCACTCAAGCGTCGCAGCATTTACTGTTTGATAAATATTCCCACAACAGTGATGATAATCAATGCCTAAACTATATAAGATATTCTCGTGTACTTGAAATTTGTTACTTTAGGAAAGTCATGCATTCAATGCAGTCATAAATCATCAAAGGATCAACGATTCATGCCATTAAAAGAAATTAGTTGACATCAAGGAACTGATACCTCAAATACTAGAAGTTGAGCAACATTATCACGAAGGCCGATGTCCTTATATTGAATAGTCTCTCCATCTAATAACCGGAACCTAACAGACAAAAAAGAAAAAGACTAATCAAAGTGAATAAACTAGTTGGATCAATTTTCATCAAACATACAAGCAAAATAAGCAACAAATAGATTACTTATCAGCTTTCCAAAACATTGCACAGCCGTCCGATGTATCTCCAGTTCGTCTCTACAGCTCCATTTATACAATTCATTAGGTTCCCATTAGTTATAAACCTACACATCAAATAGTACTGCTACTACAACTACTAGTAATGTCTGTGTTAGTGTCCGTGTCAGAAACAGACACCCAGGTTTGTGATTATGCTTAATTTATTAATTTTTTACTGGTATCAACGTGTCAATGTCGCATGTCTGTGTTTCATAGACAAACAATGTGTGAAGGAAATGAACGCTACCTTATAAGATCCTGCATATCCTCCATTAACCAAAATATTTGAGAGTTCATAATACTTATCCACCTCCTGAAAATACCGATCAGTATAATAATAATAATACATACATTTTCAAAACAAAAAAAAATTACTAAAAAGCTAAATTAAGTGCTTATTTAAATAAGCACTTATGAGATACATAAGACGTTAGTTTTTTTACTTGTAAACACATAATATCAGGGCTCCATTCAAAGAATTCTTGAGAAAGAATCTTTTTCCTTCGATCCCAATGGATATAACGAGAAGGAGTGTTAACGTATAAATCAGCATGTTGCGAAGCATTTCTATCAGCAAGTATGTTATACGACGCTACGGTGAATCTCTCGGAAGATGCGCGGGATTGATCGAATGCTTCAACCCAGCGGCGTTCGATTCCGTGAGAATGATTTGTAGAAGAATTGGAATTTGAATGATACTGGCAGTGAATCTGTGAAGAAGGTTTGGGGACTGTGAAGTTGAAGCAGATTTGGATTGGGACGCGTTTGGCGTTGGATGAGATGAAAGAGGGGAAGAGGCAACAAGAAGAAGAAGTTGAAGAAGCCATTTATTTTCTTTTTCTTTCCCTCCGAATGAACAATGAAACGCGCCACAATTCGGTAATCGTGATCTAATCCCAATGCTTTTCTCTTCTTTTAATCACAACCTTTTCTTTTCCTTTTCAAATTTATTCAATTTTAAATATAATCTTAACTTGTAATTTTATTTTATTTTGTTTTAGTTGAATAATTTTGTATTTTCTAAGTCAAACACTATGAGATTGGGGCATCAAACATTTAAAAAAAAAATCAGTTGTATTTCTTCGATCTTCTTATTTCCACATCAATTAGCATCTGAATAACAAGTAACTGTAACTTCTTTGTTTTCAGAATCTCATGGAAAAAGAATTCCACAGTTTATTGATCATTTTATGTATCTCAAGACTCTTCTTGCAGCCTTCACGTGGGATACCCTTGATTCACTCATGTATTTGCTCAGTGATTCGACTGAGAAACCTATATCAGATCGATTGTTGCACACATACTTCAGAGATCCGATAATTTGTTTGAACAAAGTTACATCAATTTTGTCCTCCTTTCCATGTTTCTCTAGTCTCAAATTTAGTTTGACTGACGAAGATGCAGAATTCGAATCATTCATCATGAATCTCTTGAGTATCTCTTTGACATACTTCCTTAGATGCAGCATCATATCTTACTTAATAAATTGAAATTTCATGCCTAGGAAATAAGACAAGTTTCCCAAATCCAACATTTCAAATTCTGACATCATCGGCTCTTTGAACTTCGACAAGTTCTTCACGCTATTTCCAATTACCATCAAGTCATCGACATGTAAGTAGATGATTGTTATATTTTGTGTCACAACCTGAACATAGACACCATACTCATATTTTCATTTGATGATTCCCAATTCGACTAAGTATGAGTCGATCTTCTTGTTCCATGTCATAGGTGCATGTTTGAGGCCATATAGGACTTTGTACAACTTGTGCACTTTCTTTGCTTCCTCCTGAATCACAAATCCAAGAGGTTGTGTGACATAGACAATTTCGTCTAAGGGACCATTCAAAAATGATGATTTCACATCTAAGTGAAATATCGACATACCTTGCTTATATACTAAGGCTACCATCAATCTGACAGTCTTCAATCTTGCAACGGATGCACATACTTCAAAGTAGTTGAGTCTTGCTCTCTGAAGAAATCATCAAGCTACTAATCTTGCCTTATGTCTTGCTATCAACCCATCAACATTGTGCTTCAATTTGAATACCCACTTCACTTTGATATCTTTTGTGTGTGTTGGAAATCTGACTAGCTCCCACGTGTTATTTTTGTCGGTCGCTTGTAAATCATCGACCATAATTGACTTCCACTATTTATTCTTTAAAGTCCCATTATAGTTTATTGGTTCATCACCTGCAAGTAAATCAAAATGAACTAATTCTCCATCTGTTGTGACTTCATCTTCACTAACCACTTCATAGTCTTGAAGGCTTGCTAGAGGATTTCTAGTTCTTTGAGGTCTTTGGCTTGTGCTAGCCACACCCTCTTGAATATCTGCTTTGACTTTGACTTTTACTAGAATGTCGGTAATTGCTTTGATTTCGACCTCATTACTTGCTTCGTCGAAGCCATAGCTCATCAATGGCTTGTCAATTGCATCACTAGAATTCCAATCCTAGGAAGAATTCTCATCAATCACAAGATATTGACTCATCATGGTCTTCTCATTAGTTGGATTGAACAGCTTGTATGCTCCAGTTTTATGATATCCTACTATAATCATAGGTTCACTTTTATCATCAAATTTTCTTCTTCTTGAATAGGGATATGCTTATAACAAATAGAGACAAACACATTTAGATTACTCACTAATGGTCGTTTTTGACTCCATACTTCTTCATGAAGCTTGTTCTTTAGTTTCTTTATAGGACACGTGTTCAGTATATAGACAACAATGGTAACTACTCCACCCCCATAAGGATTTTGGCAGATTATTCTACTTCAGCATGCATCTCACTATATCCAATATGGTTCTAATTCTTCTTTCTGATATACCATTATTATGTTGGGTCATGTAAGGAGCATTTACCTCGTGATCAATACCATGTTCTGCAAATAATTCTTCAAACAACATGGAAGTGTATTCACCGCCTCCATCTGTTTGCAGAACCTTGATCTTCTTTTCATTCTGGTTTTCGAAAAGCATCTTGAATCTCTTAAATATTTAAAATACTTCATCCTTTCGCTTAATTACATAGATCCAAATCTTTTGACTATACTCATCGACAAATGAAACAAAATACTTGTTTCCACTAATTGTATGATCCATAAACGGGCCACATACATCTGAATGTACTACTTCTAGAATGCAAGAGGACCTAAAAGACTTTCGAGATTGCTTTCTTACTACGTGATCAGAAGAAGCCAAAATATCTTCATAATCTAATAGTCAACTAACATAGTTTCTTGGTCCTTGAGCTTTGACTTGCTTCAGGTTACGAGTCTTCAAAACTAGACTTTATTCAGAGTTTGGGATCTTCAAGATCTGATCCTTGACCAGGTTCAAAGTCTGAGTATTCAGGCTTTGATCCTTCAGATGTTGACTTTCTTCAAAAGTTGACCTCCTTTAAAAGTTTATTCTTCAGAGTTTGATTTTAGAATCTTCTTCTTTGAGCTTCTCTTTGAATGATTAGTGCAGTGTCAGAAGTGACTTTGTATCTAAATTTTAATCTATGTTCCTTCATACTTGAACAGATGTTAGTATACCATTTGTTCTTTAAATACTTTGTTATCATCAAAACCTTAAGAATATGGTACAAACCAATTTTGTTCCAACAATATGTAGAGTTAGTTCATGCAAAATAGTGAGAAGTATTGTGTGTATTCTATAGAGAAAGTTGGATCCCCTTCTTAATTATAGAATTGAAATATTTATAGAATATCCCTTGGGTCTGAGTTAAAAAAGAAAAGGGTAGTATCCCTCATCCATAATTAGAATCGTGGGAATAATGGAAGAAGCATTCTCCATTAATTTGTGGAGGAGAAGGTTTCTTTGTTGACTAGACTCTTTAGTCATTTTTTGCTTGAACATGTCATCTTTCATATTTGTTCAGTAAGTGGGTATTGGAGTTAGTTTGAGAGGCCCAATGGGGTGACCTATATTGTCGCTTTTGGGCAACATGCATTGCATGTTTCAGGCGGACTCTTAGACCATTTAGGGTGGCCTCCTGGTTCTTAGGATGTTTGTCTAACACCGGTGCTTGGCTTATCTTACTTTCTTATGGATTATCCTTTTTAAGGCCTAACAGAATTATATTGGTACACAACCCTCAAACAGGAGGGCTTGAAAAGGATGAAGTGATTAATTAGAGTGCTCACATCCTTAAGATTCCTCTTTATGGATCTACCCCTAGGTGGATTTTCCTAATGATGGCTTGCGACGAGTCCCTCAAGCATAGTTTGAGGCGAATACCTCAAGCCTACCTTGGGGGAGGGTCTTTAAGTTGAGTATCTCGAACAAATCTTTAAGTTTAGTCTCCAGGAGAGACTTTACATTGAGTCTCTCATGCGAGTCTTTTATGTTATTTGTTTAATTGTCCCGTTTTAGGGTTTATGTTATATCACCTTGAGGTATCTTTCGATGATAATATTCACGCCTTTTGAGGTATGTTTACTTATCTCTATATAAACAACACATATCTGAGATAAGGGGGTGAGGTTCTCGAGTGTGGTGCTAGAGGAAGAGTCTCTCTAACGTCATTGAAGGTGTGAGAAACAAAATAAAGGGGGGTTTGAATTAGGTTTTACCAAATTGAATCATTTTGTTGGTGACAGAACAAGTTAGCTTAGAACATAACAATAAATAAACATGTTTATTTTTATCCTGGTTCGTTGTTTACTAAGTTACTTCAGTCCACCCCCTTAAGGATGATTTCGCCTTTAACAAGAACTTAATCCATTATAACCAAACTGATTACAGACAACCCACAATAAGTCTGGTCAATCTTATTGGCACCCTCAATAAGTCTGTCGATCCTTATTGCAAATCTACTCAAACCGCAACAAGAGTCTTCTTGAGATCAGGCCTTCACTCGGCCTCTCAAGGTATCATTCAACAATAATTGAGTACTTTCACTGTATTACAGATTTGCTTCTTTTAAGTAGATTACACAGATAATTCAGTACAAAGAAAAACACCTAAGTGTTCTACTGCAAGATACGAGCAACAACTCATTAATTATTTACAAAATTATACACGGAAGATTTTCTCTAAAGAGTTTGCACAATGCTTTGGTGTAGTTTTACTTGAGCTTGATTTAATCTGATATATTTTGTGTAATGTTAATTCTTACTTTTCTTCAGATTTCAAGTCTTCCTTTTATAGCTTGTAAAAGAGATTTGTTAAAAGGGTAGAAATGTAATCAGAAATCTAGTTGTTTGTTCTCAATGGTCATAATGAGAGTGGTTATAGTATAGTACAAAATAATTGTCTTTACTCCACCCTAGAAGGTAGAGGTCACATACTACTTTACGCCACCCTTTGGATATTTGAATGTTGAATGTTGAATCTTGTTGTAGAAGAATTTTTCTTAAGTCTTAGAAACTAAGTCTTGGAGTCTTCAGAACTTCTCCTATCAGAACCTTGTCTTCAGAGTCTTCAGCACTTGGTTTTAAGAACTCACTTTTCTTTAGATCATCATAACTTGTTCAGCAGAACCTCGTTTTCATAATCTTCAGAACTTGTAACACACCGAAGTAAAGCTTTAGAAAGCCTCCAAAGCTTAACCATAAAGTCACAATCAGAACCTCTTGTATTAACGTTCCTAAGACGTGTTGCAAAAGACGTATTCAGAATCTTGACTTTAACTGTAACATGTAACCACATGTTTTCTTCTAGTAGTGTGTGTTCAGAACCTGGTGACGTCACATGTCTTCATACCAGAGTCCGGATATTATAGCAACAACTACACACTAGAACGAAACCATTAGTGTATACAATTGTTCACTAAGATAACATGTAAAGTTATCATCAAAATCT